AGGGTGAAAAGGATATTTGGAAGGAGCTCATGGGTACCCTACCCATTCTGTAAGTCTTAATATTTGAATAATTAAGCTCAAAATAGAAGTGAATATCAGTTGATTTGTTTGGTTTCAAACAGGAGGTGCTAACATTCAGCCACACTGGCATCGATACTATGAGGGCACAGAGGGTATCGTGTTTGTGCTTGACAGTGCATGTTCGGATGAAGCCTTGCAGCAGGTCAGCCTCTTTGGTGTTGTTTTCATATTTTTTTTTACTATTTCTGTATCGTTTGAATATTCCTCACTTGGATCAAGTTACTCATTCTTGTGAATAATTGGGTCTAGGAATCAACTTTATGTGAAATGTAATAACAAAACTAAATGGGTGATGCGAATGTAGTTTTACTTTGTCCACGGATTGACAATTCTTACATTACAGGCGTCATTGTGCACTATGTGCTTTGAGACAACAAAAGTGCTCAATATGTCAAGAAAGCTGCCTAACAACTAACTCAAGGAAGTTTCAGCTCATTAAATATTCTATGGCCTAGATTTCAAATCAAAAGTTGCAGATTCATTTTTTGAATTGTGCCTGAATTCAGCCTCTCTGTGCCATATTCTCATTCAGCTAAATATAGCTACATGATGTCCCACACTGAACTGAAGAATTATAGTAACGTTGCATGCCCGTGTGTCGTGTCGATGTTTGCGTGCACTTCACTGGATCAAAAACAAATTGCTGATGGCAATTATGTGTATGTATTATGTATATATATGTATATATATATATTCAGAATTTATTATGTAATTTATCGCACAGTCTGTTTGTCTTCCCTTCCACAGACTACATTGTGCTTCAAATTTGTTGGAGGTTAAAAGTTGATATGGTCAAACCATTGCCCGTTCAGTTTGTGCACTGTTGGAAAAAGATGGTTAATTTTAGGATTTGTGGCAAAACTGAACCATTTATGTGAGAAGAAGTCGTATCAGGCAACTGGCACAATTTTACTGGAGGAATTGAAAGGAAGATTGTCAAGATGCTGCTGCCCCGGTACACCACTTAACCCTCCTTTGGTTTTACAGCACAAATGTGCACAAGTGCCCACAGTCACTGATGAGCATGTATTTTCTATATGGAACTCAAACGTGCACAGGTTCAGTGTGTACACAGGAGGTTGTCAGCACAAAA